ACTCGTTTGCTCTGTCTGTGCAGACCTTGCAGTGATGGAAAGCTCTCTCTCCTGGCACAGTAAGGTAAGGCCCTGAAGGAGAGGTGGACTTGATTACAGGAGATGCTGTCCCAGCCCAGACAGGGAGTCTCTGACCCTGCCAAGTGGAGACAGAGTGCTGGGGGACAGGACCAAGGCAGGCAGCACAGCAAGCCTGGGAGCACTGGGCTCCTGACTCCCCTGTCAGTGCTGCTGCAAACCTGTGCCAGGCACGGTGTTCTGAGCTCAGCTGCACTCAGGTTGTTTTCTGCTTCACTGGGCACTCACAGGTTCCTCCTGGAGAGCTGACTTGCTGCTCTCCCGTCCTGCCCCTGCCTGCCTTGCCCCTCCTTTCCCCTCTCACCCCATCTCACAGTAATAACCATCAGTTTTTAACAGCATGTCCTACACTGGAGGTTTTGTAGTTATAGCTTTTAAAATGATTTAGTGTGACAGTTTAGTGCTGAATTAAAGGAAAAAAAAAAGAGAATAAGAGAAAGGAAGAGAAGAAGCAGAGAGAAAAAGGAGAGACAGTCCCCTTAAGGCAACAACATTATGGAGCAGTGATCTCAGAGGAACAAGGGTTCTTCTCTGGTTCAGATGTGCTTGTCAGAGCTCAGTGTCGTCTCTGAACAAGAAATCTCTCTTGCTGGCCCAAGGCACAGTTTTGTGGTCAAGAGGACAGAAAATAAAGGGAGGGAACTTCAAAGAAGCATAAGCTGCATTAGCCCGCTGGGGCGGGTGGCTGCGGCACATCCCATGGCTGACAATTATGACCTGCATGCCGAGAAAGCTTGCCTCCCTCTTGTCAGAGGGATAAGACACAGGCTGTGAGCTTTAGAGCTTTGAGGATGTGTACAGTTCATGATGAAAGATAGCACTTCAAAGCCCTCTGCCTAGAAACCCAGGGAGAAGTAAGAGCGGAGGGTAAGCAATCTTTTTTCCTGGGGGGTGCATATGCAGGGGAAGGATAAGACTTACTTTCACTGTCATTTATTATTGCCATGAAAATGAAGCCTTGCACTGTTTATGGAATCTCTCATTAAAAGGATCTCTTGATAAATCGCTTGACAAACATTCATTAATTAAGTCTCTGAGCGCACTTGGCTGACAAGAATTAGTCTTCATTTTGCAGGAGGGGGAAATTGAGGCGTGGAGCTCAGCGAGCCCCCAGCAGCCAGGGCAGGGCTGGGTCCTGGCCAGCCACTCTGTGCCACCAGACAGATGGATTACACTGCTCCCTCCGTGCCCAGCTTGATCCGGATCCAAAGACAGGAGCAACATACTGTTCTCAACACACTTCAAAGCTCTTTTTCCCCTCGTGCTGCCCAGTGCCTCCCAGGGCTGCAGGGCAGACGGGGCTGTGCAGTTTTGGCTCCTCCATGGGCATCTCATGCCCCAGGGGCTCCTGGACACTTCTTTCATCTCACAGGCACCTCCCCACCCACAGCCTGTCTGGGGTTATGAATGGAGAAACCCTGGCTGCTGCCCAGGCTCCAATTTTCGATGGAAGTTTTCCTCCCTGGAGCTTCTGACCTATCAAACCAAGCAAAAGAAACACCTCCGTTAAGACATCCATTTCACTCTCACTGCTGCAGTGGCCTTGGGTTCAAACACTGGGGACCCTGCAGCTCACCTGGGCTGCAGCTGCAAGGCTATTGTGGTACAAACCTCTCCTGTTTTCCTTGGCATACAGTAGCTCTGGAGCAAGGATTGGGGCAAGGAAGCTCAAATGCCTCCAGCCAGACCCACGAGAGACGCCCGCAGCTGGAGGGAGCAGCAGTGAGGACCCAACGCTCAAGTCCAGAAAATACCAACTATCCTACCCTACACACTTCAAAATATGATCAGAGCAGGCAGGAGGAGGTCTTTGCAGTGACTTAGGGGTGACTGTCCCTCTCACCTCCTCAGCCCCACAACTCATCTGACCATCACTCCTTTGCCTCATGCTCCTACCTGGAGACAGAGGGACACATTTGGCTTTCGCCTGGGCTTCCCCTGCCTTTCCTGGTACTTGCCCTTCAGAAAAAGGAAGGGCTGGCTGGCAGATTCCTGTGAGAAAGGAGCTGCATGAGAGAGCAAACAGACCTTTATTATTTGTTTATTGATTTATTCTCCAGGAGGATGTAACACCCGGCCCTCGGCAGCAAATGCCCTTGTAACTCTGCACTGCAGTGACAAGTTGGCCAAACAAACACTTTTCTGCGTCAGAAAAACAAAGACTGTCAGCAGAGCAGATCAGGGCTTCTCTGCTCTTACTTTTAATTATTATTTCCTTACACAGAGGATTTAATCTCCTCTTCTGCTGGAAGCTCAAAGTGCCCCATTCAGCCTATTTCACAGCTGTGACTACTGAGGTCACCCCGGGTCAGGACACCTCTCTCTGCACCACAATAGTGCCTGGTCCCCGAAGTGGACATCCACGCCGTGCATCTGCTGCTGCAGATGAACTGGTGTCAGCAGGAGGAGCACGGCCACCACGGGGAGGGGGCAAAGGCAATCGTTACCCAGAGAGCCCCAGACAAAAGACGCTGCTCCTCCGGCCTTTTGTGGAGCTCTCAAATGCGGTCAAAGGTTACATTTTACAGCTGTTCCAGCCTCAAATAAGCGTAACCCGCCTATCTTAATAGTTAATTGCATTGCTAAGCTGCTGATAAACTAGGACGGCATAAAACAAATACACAGGGCCAAACACATCCCCAGGGAAAGTTTGTGGGAACAGAGGGAGTTGCACCAAACAATGGACGCGGAACACGGGGAGTTGCACCAGACAATGAATCCACTTTATGTGTTTTAGAAGCCTGGTTACCTTCAATAAAAGCTGCAGCACGGATACTGCATGTTTGCTAGCTAATATCTCTCCAAAAAGGCCACCAGTGTTTACAAAAGAAGGGCACAGTGCAAATGCCCACGGGAGAGGACAAGCGCGTGCCGCGCCATGCGTGTGCCCATCAGGAAACCGTGCTGAGCTAATCCCCTCCCCACAGAGCCACCAGGGCTCCAGCCCTGGAGAACACGGCCTTAAATCAACGCTCTTATCTCACAAAAGGAATTTAAGTGCACTGCTTTGAAAGTCACTTTCTCCCGGCCATATGGCATCCCCGAGCCTGGTCGCGTAGGAGCGGCGTTCATTTGCATGTGCAAGAGACAAATCTGGCTCTTGAATTGCGGGAGTGATAACAGGGCGAGGGGTAAAATTTAGCACTGTTTGGGTTTCTGCACAAAATCTTTGCTGAGGCGAATTTCTCTCACCTGCCAAGCCAAGTGCCAAATGCTGAGGTAGCCCCAGGAGAGCTTGCCCACGGTGGCAGTCCATGCCATAAGCGAGGGCCAGGGTAAAAGAGAAGCCTGAGACAAAACCCACGGTCTGAACCCAAAGCTGGCAATGTCTACACCCACATTAAAGCAAACAGGAACAGGCTGAAATTGTAGGGATATAAACAGCATTGAACACAAACTTCAAGACAGCAAATTCACAGGCGTTCACACATTTAACTTCCTGATAGGGAGGTATTTTGAAAACTCATGTTGCTGAGCTGCTCCATGATATGAAGAGGTGGGGGATCTTGGGCTTCAGCACAAGGAGGAGCCAACAAAGCTGCTAACGCTTCAACATAAGCCTCTCCAGCAGATCTCTGTGCCAGGCATTATGCAGGATGGCAAGATTTTTGTTTTGCCGAGGCAGTGCCATATGGGCAATCTGGTTTGCCTTATCAGCAAGCCAAGTGAGAGAAGAGAAATGTTCTTCCCCACCATTTGTTTAAATTTCCCTCTTTCCCCCAGATAAAGCTGCATACTTTTGTAAAAATATCTACAAATGTAATAACATAATGGGCTTGTCATCGGTTTCCACATTTGGCATTGAAAATCTGCAAGGCTTGGAAAGAATGAGAATTCCTAATAGTTACTGCTGCTGAAGAGCCCAGCTAAAAACCGGGCCTGGATCCAGGTGATGGAGCACACAGCCACCAAAACGCCTTTCCATGTCCGGCACCTACTCCTACACAACTGCAAATTGTTCCTTTCTTGGCCCCACTGAAATAATGCAAGAAGTTTATTTCATCAGTTCTTGTTGATAGGCCTCATCTCCCCTCTTTGGGGTATTTGCATGCCCCTAACATCCACTGCTACTGTGAACTGATTTTATTTTGCAGCTCACTGCAGAGGATGCTGCAGACAGCCACAAGTCCTGGCAACTAACTTGGAGCCACACAAACCTCCTAGCATGGCAAGGTGAAACCATTCCCAGCACAACGTTTTTCACCGTGTACCACAGTTTGCCTTCTCCCAGGCTGTTTCTTTGGCATTTCTGCCCGGTATCCATCTCAGTGAGATTATCCCTGGGAACACACGAAAGCAGAGCAGCCCGGTTTTATGGCTGTGCCGAGCCCTCAGAGGAGGGCTGGGCGTATTTAGAGATCCGAGGCTGTGCCCCCCAAGGGGCTGTGGAACGAGGCAGTCTCTTAGCAACACCCAGTGCCTCTCACAGGTTACTGTCATTAACAGCAGGAGTGGAGCTGTGCTGGGCTGAGCACCCTCCTCTGTGTCCTGGAGAAAAGAAGTGTACAGTCACAAATGCTCCGTGGGCACTGGCAGGGGAGGGATGTGCAAGACCTTGTCAGGATGACACAGACAGCACTGAAATACCGATTTGTTTAAAAGAAATGAGGATTTGATTGTATTAGAGGGAGAAGCACATCCCCTACAGTAAGGACTGACTTCTTCTTTGTCAGTAATCCCTCTCTCCAAGACCCTCAATACAAATCTTACTGGGAGGGAAGAAGTCCCACCCCACACTGAGACAATGCAGCTCTAAATTTTAACTTAAATCATCACAAGCCTGTAAAGCTGATCTTTATGACAATGTGTGTGGCCAAGCTACAGGCTCTGGCAAAACTGATGTCCTGCTATTCGCATGATACGGATTCACAACCCAAATCTCTCGCTGTAAGATAAGGAAAGCATTTCTCCAGATCACTTACCTTTATTTGCTGCAGGGGAGAACAGCTTCTCAGAGCCTACAGAAGCCTGAAAAAGGAAAGAGAAAGAGAGGGTGAATAATGGTGAAGGAGAAATTCGGAAGGCTTGCTCACAAAAACACAGCTCATAAAACAAGTGGGTTATCTGGAGACCTGCAGTTGCGCATTGCACCTGGAGGGTGCAATGTTGTGCCATTAAAGAACGAGCATGCATCCTGAGGAGATGAAAGCCAAGCAAGAGGACTGTCCTGATCTCACCCAACTACATCCTCCTGTCTCGTTTGTTTAGGCAGCCATGCAATGCACAGCTATTTTATCCATGATTCCTCATATAAAAACAAAACCAGTGAAACTGCTATCAAGCTGAAGGAAAAAAAAAATAAAGAAAAAAGAAACCAAAACACATTTCAAAGGCTCTCTCACTGAAAATAAGCTCAATTCTTGCTGAACATGCAAAATGTAATTTGTGTATTGGAAACACAAGTTGCAACTGAACACATCTGTATGAAGGAGGGTGTTGTTCAATATTATGCCAAATGATAGGTACATGCTGCTATGCACTTAGTTGAGTATGAAATAAAACGACTTCCTCTTGGAAGAAGCCCGTATCCTTGCAGACTGGATTGCACTATGCTGTCTGAACTTCACAGCAGTGTATTTGTGCTCCTCACAGCTCTGGGAAACAGTTAAAGAAATCCAATTAACCTAAACCTTGTAAACAGCTTCATGATAATCAGGGTCACTGGGTTACAGACAAGATGATAACGACAGACAGGGAAAAAAGTCCATTCATCGTAACTAAAGCTTTTATGAGTTAATTTGATGGCTTCCTTTCCTCCCCCCACTGATATCAAGCAGTCAACCGATTTCAGCATAAGCTTTTCCTCCTCGCTATCTGATAAAATAGCAAGCAGCCTCTCCAGAATCAAAGCTAGTCTGGGAGCAGGAGCACGATCAACATTACTACCATCTACAAGAAAGTATCATCAACGTGTTAGCACTGACTGCTGCATGAATAAAATGGGTGAAGTACAAAGCTGACGAGCAAAAGATACTGAAAGTGAAAAAAGCCTTTTTCCCCTGGCTCTGCTTTAAATACAATTAATTAATTCAACACATGGCTGAACGAAGTTGATTTTGTTTTTGATTTTATTGATTTTATTCTAAGGTGCCTTGGGAGATTTGCATGATAAAGAGCACTACAAATTGTATTACATTGCTATATATTTTAAATATATATGACGACTCAGAAGGAAAAAAACAAATAGTAAAATGCAAGAAGTTCTGCATGAGATATAGTAAGAAGCAAGAGTGATCCATTAATGTTACTTCTAAGAAAAGTGGCACTGCAAGCACTGAATGTCTTACTTAATGCAAATGTATAAAAAAGAGAGGGAAAACAACATGAAAAATAGGTTGAGGCTGAGACACATAAGAAAAAAATTCTGAATTATGTCCACGACAAAGCTGCACGTGTAGCTGTGGCATGTATGATCATTACACAGCTCAGCAAAAAGATCCTAAAATCTTAGGGAAAATCAGTTACCTGCACGATCCCTTCACTGCATGGATTAAAAAGAGGAAGAACCAGGATTAAACAACGTTTTGCCTAGGCTGGTTTGCAAAGAAAGTGTAACAGAGTCACACAGCAGCAACAACAGTGGTGCATAAAACGTTTGACAGCCAACTCTGAATTTACAACCCATTGTTAGGAGATTTTTCACTTTTAATCAACACCAAGTCACCACGGACGCAGAACACATCTGCAGGCTCTGGGAACTCACCCATGCTAACAGCTCACACAGAGCCAGGGCCTACTCTCAAAGCACTCCACAAGCACTCGGACACGTGGCAGGTGGATAAATAAGATTCCCCCATTTTACAGGCAATGAAACCTCGGCGTGGCTTGCACTAAAGCCCCAGCAGTAAATCGGCCGCTGAGCCACAAATCCTAAATGCCGGGTCCAGCTGCTGGGGTGTGCAGAGCTCCAGAGGAGCCTGCTCAGGAGAGCCCTTCCTGGGGAGCCAGCCACGGCTGCAGGACCTGCTCAGCCTCCCCAGCTGGAGAAGCTTGGTGCTTCCCCAGGTCTGGAGAGTCCGGGCTCACAGCCCCACTTTGTGGCAGCCACCAGCCCACTCCTTCCCTCGGTACCGCGGGCAGATAAAGGTCCCAGCGCTGCAGGTCCAGACTGTATAAAAACAATGCTTAAGGAAGTCAAGCCAGAAAATTCACTTTAAAGACAAAGTAAAACACCCGGATTATTGCTCAGTCTCCTGCTATCAGCATGTGCCACCGCCTTCCACAATCAGAGTCAACATTTACAGAGCAGCGTTTTCAACATCGCAGCTTCAGTTCACAGACACAAACCTTCACACCTAGAGTTTACAGTAACTTTTGCTCTCACTTCTGGTGATTTCTAGCTCCAGATCTGAGCAGTTTTTGGCACGAACACCATTCTGAAACAGTGAACGCCTGTGCTATAGGATATTCTGCGAGCTGCTGTAAAGGCAGGAGGGAAACTGGGGGAGGAAGAGCCTGAATACATCATTCAACCCTATCAGTCACCCTTTAAAGAAAGCGTACAATAAAACCTATGTGTCTGAGGGAGCCCACTAATGACTGAAAAAATCCAGCAAACCAACACATCTGCTAAAACAAGTCCCCTCCCAAATACTGCTGTTCCAAGCAAATCATTTGCATATGTTTAAGGAGGGATTTAAAAATAATATTAATAAAGTGAAATTCTTCCCTTGTGAACAAAACCAGGCATTTCCAGTCTTTTATGCAGAGTTCAAGCCATCACAGGAAATCACATGTTCTTTGATTGCAAAATGAAACTAAAAATTTCCTTTTTCTCCCCTCTCATTGCCTCCTGCCTGTCTCCATCTGAAAGACCATTTCACAAACCCCTCAAGTTCCTTTTTGTTGCTGCGTGAGGCAGCGAGACCTGCCCAGCCTGAAGCTCACAGACAGAAGACACCTCCACCCTTCCTTGCTCAGTGGCTGCTCATCTCCCTTGCCCCGGAGCACAGCCCACGGCCACAGAACCCACCACAGGCTTGTGCTCACAGAAATGCTGCTTGCACAGTCCCACCCCTGTAACTGTGGCACCTGAAGCATGTCTGACATCTGTCCCCAGAGCAGCAGTTTCTGAGGTAACCTCATGTTGCTGAAACCTCTAAGACCCAACACCCTTTTGATGACACCAAGCCCCCCAGGTCGCCTTTGTGGCCTATTCAGTGAAGTTACCAATCCTTTACCACCTTTTGATTTTCCTTCTTTTCTACTCCAGACCTAAAGGGGAAAATGCCTCCCCCCAGTTCTGTGACAGCTTAAAACCAGGCTGAATGCACTGCAGGGGAAAATAACATTTCTGCCCTTTTCTGCTTTGTGGAGAGCAAGCAGAGGAGTGGTGCTGCAGTCCCTCCCCCTTCCTCCCCTTGAACCCAGCACATATAAACACTGATTCAATTTTCAGCACTAAAAGCTCAGCAAAGGCAGCTTTTTCCTCAAATCTGAGGTGGTAACCACAAAGGATGTAGCACACCCTCTCCTCTGAAGGTGAGCAGTGAGGCATAATGAAGTCCATGCCTCATCCACCCTGGTTCCCACCAACCCAAGGCAGCTGAAAGGTGCAAAAGCTCTTGCAGATTAATAATTTAATGATTATATATAACAGAACAACATCATCTGACAAAGACAGCACTATAAATTATGTCAGGCCTCACAGCAACTACTTCTTTTTGTCCCCTTCATCCGTAGCCTATAAATGGCTAACAGGGAATAGAACTGCTCCTCATCACCAGCAACAGAGGCTCTGTGGACCTTCATGCCATCTCCTGGAGCACCAAATGCCAGATCCAAGCCTGACACTCCAGGAGCCTGACAGAAAGACACTGGGAAGCTGCTAATAAGGCTGCAGGTCTGGCTCACAGGGAACAAGCAAAGCAATGTTAGGGAGCTGGTATGTATGTCACATACAGGGCAAAAGCCAAGCATTCCCTCCAAGTGAGTCCAGTACAGTAGGCAGAAGAAGGGAGACAGTAAAATAAGTTTATAATTTAGATCTGGATGACTGCCTATCTACTAGACAGCCAAAAGCCAGTCTCAAGAAAGACTGTTTGCACAATTACTGAACTTAGCAAGCACTAAAAAGCTCACAAGAAAACCCTTCTATTTGAGATTTCCAAACTGGAAGTGCTGGATACGCTTCAAGAAAGTTTAGCATAAAGCATGGACACTACCTGAAAATTTTGGATCGATTTTCATTCTTTTCTTTGATCTGTATCCCTTGCTTTTACCAACCACTCCAATGCCACTTGATCACTTGTCCAGCAGAGAATTTCAGCATGTCAGTACTGCTTTACTACTTTGCAGTTCACTCTGCAAGTCATTCATACCAGACCCCTCATCCAGTAATATGAGAACAATAACTAAAACAGGAAGGTATTGTTTGGGTTGTGATTATTCTGTAGGAAATGGAAATTGATACATATGGAAAGGTGCAAGAGAAGCCTAGAAATAGCACACATGCACACAAAACCCCAAAGTAAAAATCCCCCTTAGGACCAACAAAGTATTCAACACATTTCAGGATATAGAAGCAGCCCGTGGGTAACACTGCCTGCATTGTGAGGGGATGTTTCAAGGTAGCCTACAGTCTTTCCAAAACCTGCATTAGTTTTGGTGAGAAACCACAGCTCAGTTAGGAAGACAAAAGAAAAGTTAGACCTCCAATTCAGTCATTTTTGTGAACCTTCTAGGAATATCCAGCTTTGTGGTACACAGCTGGCTGGGACACTGCACAGCCCAGCTGTGTGAGGGATTAAGCAAGAGGGAACAGGACTTCTACAAATCCACACTGTGATTATCTTCCCACAGAATTTATAGACTGGGCTTTCAAGAGGGCTCAGCACTCAGCAGCTGCCTTTGGGGCATCAGCCTGACTGGAGCTACTGGGTATAGAGTATTTCCAAAAATCAATTTAGAAACCTGAATGGTGACCACGTTGTTCTGAAAAATCTGCCTACAGCTGATAGTTGTGATCA